TCTCTGCTATCTTCGCAGAGATATCTGCATTGCATCCTGCCTAATTTCTCCCCATTTTTACCCCTCACTCCCCCTCAGTAAGGCCCTGCATTGTAGCTAGTATTGGGGGGAAACTCAGGATGTTTGGTTTGCAGGTACTCATGCAAATTTTGTTTTCAGTTCATGTGGTTTTACTCCCCTCGAGTTGAGCTTTGAGTTTCAGGTTCCAACAGACACACAACCTCAAAGTGAAATTCAGCCGAAACCACTGAGTTTCACCTGATTTCAGGTCAAAAACATACAGAAGCACCGCACTTCGCATTTTCTTCCTGTTTGACTTCAGAGCACAGAGGTCTACGAGTCTTACTTGAGATGTGAGAGTTTTTTGTTTGCTACCAGCACTTTGATCCCTCTCTTGACAATGCCAGATGCTCATCCAACTACGCTATACAATCTGAAGCAGGTTCGCTTCACTTTCATGGCTTCTTCCCTCAGGGTCACTTTTGGGGAAGTAACCGACTGCTCGGACACCAACACGCCCCCTTTGGTGAGGTGTTCTCTTGAGGGCACTGCCCTCTGGCAGTGACCACTCCAATTTTGGTCTGCGCCCCCTTCCGGGGGGGGGGGGACATTGTTCTTCCTTCGCTCCTCCTCCAGGGTCCTCCCTACTTCCCAGGACCCCCAGTTCTTCTTCCACTCTGCCTGCCCAGTTGCCTCCTGCAACCCTGCCTTGCGGACTTATGGCCTGTGGCTTCCCTGGCTTGAACTCTCCCAGCCTACCACAGCTGCCTTCTTGCAACCCGGCCTTTTAGGGCCACCTCCATGCGAGCCTCGCCCTCCATGACTTCGTTCTTGCAGCCCTGGGCCTCAGGCCAGGTAGCCTGGGCTTGCTAGGCCAAAGCCTCTCCCATTGCAGGCAGGCAGGCAGGTCTCTCTCCTTCGCCTCCCAGGAGCTGCTCTACATGGCCTCCAACTGGGCCCTCATTAGCTGCCTCAGCTGGGCTTCCTCCTGACTCCAGGTCTCAGCCCCTTAGACGGCCAGTGCAGGGCAATGCCCTGCCACAAATCTCTAGCTCTCTCTTCAGTGGAATAAGCCACGCACTTATTCAGCACACTATTGTAATACAGCCTGGGCAAGACACCCTCCGCGGGCTGGAGCCAACCTGCCAGGCTGCCAGATCCAGGCCGCTGACACAGCTTGGAGCCTCAGGCAGACTCCCTGCCTGCCCCCCACACGCTGCTGAGAAGAGCGGCCGTTGTGGGGCTCTGTTTGAACAGCTGTGAGCCTGGGAGAGGGGAGGAGGCCGTATGCGCTGCCCCCATCCCCAGCACAATCCCATTGGCCAGTTTTGGGCCAATGGGAGCTGCCTTTTGTCAACAGGCAGCTTGTGAAGCACCCTCCACCCTCCGCTCAGGCTCGTAGCTGTTCAAAACCCACATGGCCCCTGCAGCCAGTGCAGGGGCAAGGAAAGCAGGGAGTCTGCTTGAGAAGGCTGTTAGCAGAGAGGCAAGTAGGTAAGTCTCCAGAACAGAGCCTGTCTCTAGTACCCCAACCCTCTGCCCCCATATCCTCTCCAAGATCCTGCATCCCAATCCTCTGCCCCAAGTCACTCAACTCCCTCTTGCCCAAGATCACAACCCAAACCCCTGCACTGCCTGGGTCACAGCCCAAACCCTCTGCCCCCCTTCTGTACCCATATCCCATCCCAAATCCTGCGCCCCAATCCCCTGCCCCAGGTCACAGCCCAAACCCTCTGTACCCCCTTTGCACCCCAGTCCCCTGCCCAAAATCACAACTCCCTCCTTCCGTAGGTCACAGCACAAACACCTCCACCCACTTCTGCACCCTGGTCCCCTTCCCCGCTTGCCCAAGGTCACAACCCAAACCCTGGCACCCTAGTCCCCTAATCCAGGTCACAACTGTCTCCTTCACCCAAACTCCCTCCCAGACCCCACCCCCTTTCCTGCACTCCAGTCCCTTATTGCAAGCTCCCTTCTGCACCCAGCTTCAATGCCAGACCCCACCTCTCCTCCATTAATATGGAAAAGTGCAGCCCTGGACCACTTTCCAAATTCTTGGTGTGCTCCCCCCCCCCGTCTAAATATATGGTTCTGATCAGTTTTCCTTTAAGACTAGTGGAAAGGAGATCAGCTTTTCAAAATCCACAGGAAAAGGATGGCTGGGTTCAGTTATTTCAAAATGATGAGTAAGTACATTTCGGTGCACTTCCTCTTCCTTCTGTTTGATTAGCATTATTTTTTTAAAAAATATACATATATTTATCCTCACTGCACATTTCCCCGGCTCCAGGTTTTTTGAGTCTGACATCTTCAGGCTGTCACTACAGAAAGGGTTCCGGCTCTGTAAAACAGACTGAATAAGTCACACATTCTCCAGAATCGCTGGGATAAATATGCCCCAGGAAAGATGACAAACCCTGGTAGAACTGTGGAAGAAAGAGAGGATCCCTGCTGATGACAATTGTGTTTGGTGCCCACCTCAGGAAAACCATCTGTGCAATTGGCATGTTGGTTGGCAAGCTCAGCAAAAAGGCCAAGGACTTAATAGGCCATAACAACAACCTTGATGCCTCTAGAGTTTCCTATCCGTAACAAAACCATCCCTTTTCCAGAATAAAAATGAGACACCTTGGTCAGATTATCAGCACTTTGCCTACGGGTAACCAGCCAGGGCAATCCTGCCCCAGGGAAGTCCATATGCTGCAATAAAAGACCCATAGCATGGCTGGGGCTGGCCTGGGTCAGTTGATTCAGTCTCATAAGACTCAGGCTGGGAGGCTAAAAATGGCCGTGGTGATGTCAGAGCTTGGAGCGTTGGCCCCGTGGGCGGAGCCTGAGCTCTGACCCTCCCCCAAATGTCTACACTGCCATTTTTAGACTGAGTCAAGTGACTTGGGCTCAGAGACTTGGTGCCAAAGGCCTTTTATAGCCATGTAGAGGCACCCGGAGGGAGAGTTTGGCTCATGACTTCAGGGCGGCCAGATTTTCACCAGAGTCACCAGTTGTCACAGTCGTGGACCTAGAACAGAAGTGGCCAAACCACAGCTCATGAGCCACAGGTGGCTGCCTTACAGTTAACGCATGTCTAGCAGAGCCCCCTCCCATTCTCCACCTGCAGGACTAGGGCGAGGGAAAGCAATGGGGTAACAGATAGGGGCGTCTGTCCAGCAAGGAGGGCGGTCTCTGGTATTTAGCCTCACATGAGGCTCATGACAGCAGGACCATCCCGAGGGAGGTGTGGGGCCTGGGGCAATGCCCCTCCCCGGTGTCCCAGGCACAGGACCCAGGACAATCCCCCTTCCCCAAAGCCTTGCCTCTCCCCATTTCCTGCTCCACTCCTTCCCCAAGCCCTGCTCCTGCCCCGCCCCCTTGTCCTCTCCCCCGGGGAACATGGTTTGGGGCATTACAGCAGCAGCAGCAGGGGTCGCGTCCTTCCCCCAACACTTACCAAGCAGGTGGCGGGAGCTGGAATGGGCCAGCAACCTGCTCTGCCCCCACCATGCCACCTTCCCGGCCCTCTGGGCCTTGCTTCTCCACGGGTAGCAGAAACCAGAGCACCCTGAGGCAGAGCGCTCTGCTTCCCGCTGCCACGGAGGAGCCACGGAGGGCAGGGTGGAGCAGGTTGCTGTACGCTCCGGCTCCCACCAGCCATGTGGTGAGTGGTGGGGAGCTACCAAGCCAGACCTCCATAATCTCCCAGTCCCTGGTGTCCATAGGATGGTTTTGTGTCTGCAGCTGCCAGACCAGTTCATCCTATGGACGGGATAGCCCTGCATGATGGGATGTGGGGGGTCCGCAGTAGGGGGACAGGCACATCAGGCGGGCCAGGCTCTCGAACTTCTGAAAACTATATTGTGTGGCTTGGGAAGGGGACGGGGGAGTCAGTATGTTTGGCCACCCAAGTTCTAGGACCTTTCACCGTGCTACAGTTTCTTATTACATTATTTCCCTCCTTGGACAATATACAAAGTATGACATAATGTCCCAGTCACTCTCAAAGATACACAAGGCTACAAACAGTCTACCAACCTAGCAGCACATTTCCGAACAAAACACAATTAAAATAATACAAATCGTGCTCAGTCATGTGGATGCATCATTACGTCTGTTGATGCATCCAGCCCATAAAACTGGGGATTTACCAAAGGAGTATGAGAGCCCGCTTCATTCAGGTGCCATGATCAGACATTTTAGGATATTTGTTACTATTTTGCTTTGTAAACGTCCAGCTATACATGCAAAAAATGAAGGGTAATTCTGTCCTCGCGGTAATTTCCCTGGGACATGGGGTAAATGAGAGCAGAAGGTGCTCAGTTAGGGCATGTCTACACTAGGAAATTATTTCGAAATAACTCCCGAAATAATAATTTTTAAATAGCATGTCCATACCCTGGGGAAACCTTGAAATTAGTCAGAGGCAGGCTCTGTTAACGTGGACATGTGACTCCAGGAAGCACTCAGGAGTGCTTTGAATGGCTTTGAATGGCTCTGGGGAGTAGTTATTTCGAAATAGCAACAGTGGACGTCCACACTACCACTAGTTCGAAATAACTTATTTCAAAATAAGCGTTACTCCCGAGGAAAGCAGGAGTACAGATTTCAAAATAACCAGCCCATTATTTAGAAATAATGAGCATGGCAGTGTGGATGCTCTGCTTGTTATTTCGAAATAAGGGGAGTTATTTCGAAATAACTCCCTAGTGTAGACCAGGGCTTATAGAACTATCATAGGATCTAGGTCTGGCTCCTTATATTTATTTGGCCATACTTCTTGAGTTTTATTCATGAAACGTTCTCTATTAGCTTCTTAATTTTAAGGGCAGGCCCTCTCTGGATGGCTATAATTTACTGTTATTACTATGTCCAGTCGAAGCAATAAAAATATGTAGGTATCATCATTGTTTCCATGCAATGATGTCTGTAGTTGTGTTGGTCCCAAATATTAGAGATACAAAGTGGGTGAAATAATATCTTTTATTGAACCAACTCTGTTGGTATAAGAGCCAAGCTCTCAGTCTACAGAGTTCTTCTCTCTCTAAAAAGAGTCTCAGAGGAGTAGCCATGTTAGTCTGTAACTTTAACAACGAGTAGTCGTGCGGTACCTTAGAGACGCATTGCCTCTAAAAAAAAGACATTTTATTAGAAATTAAAAATTAACATGGTATTAAAATGTAGAATAAAATCTTAAATATTCACACTGAAAAGGCATGAAGAAAAAGGACTGTCATCAAGTGATGGTCCTCAATATATTTGTTGTTTCCTTTAAATCAACACGCACAACCTGGGCAAAGCTACGTCTAAAGTAACTAACTGGAATACCTCCAGGTGCTTCTCCCGATGGCACAAATGCATTTCCACATCTCACCCATTAGGTCAATGAGTCAAGAAAGAGGAGAGGGTTCCAGTCGCGGAGGTATCAATACAGAAGTGAACATCATGCTGATTTGGGGAGGTAATGGGATGATATTATGCTCACAATTATTTGCAAACTCAGTGTGCTGTCCTGACTGCCTGCCACTTGCTATTCCCAGTAATTTATGCACATTCCTGGAGGGGTTCAGAAGAAAATCTTAGTCCCTCAGCTGCTGTGGATGTTCTGTCAAAGTTAATATTCAGAAATCACAGTTTTTCTGTGACAAGAATGTTTAGACCCCTAAGAGAAGCATCCTGACTTTGGGCAGGTCTGCCTCTGTATCTAGCTTCATACATGTTTCTGCATCTTAGGAGGCGGGAGTTCCACTCCTTTACTACTAACCTGGGTTCACCTACAGGAGGTAAGTTTAACCCTTCTTTGAATGTTTTCCTATTAAATTTCTTAGCTGGAATGGCAGAAACAGCCAAGAAATCACTAGATTTTTTTAGGACTAAAATCTTTACAGATCATGCATTATTACTCTGTCCTTTCAGTGGCTTGGAATACCTTGATTTGAATACAAAAAAACTCCCTGTATTTTTGTAAATTACCCAACTTTTTTTTTTTTTTTACTCAAAATGAAATTACACCTCCGGGGAAGGCTGTAAAAATGCTAAGCAGCAGTTTGCATGCTCAAGTACTGTGCACAGACTGTATAATTATTTGCCTCCATGCACTGAGCAAATAATTCCTTGGATCCAGTTTCTAAAGGGGAAAAGTGACACTTTCCCTTTAAGGCTAGCGTGGTTTGTGTGCGTGTGTGTATGTGTGAGAGTGTGTGTGTCTCCTCCTCTTTGAGTGACACAGCAGTTAGATATGCCTATCAGTAACTTAAACCCCACAAACTCCACCTTCTAAGTGAGGAAGCTGTGGGTTGATGGAAATGTAGTGAGCAGATTGAGACAGACAGTGAATCATTAGCAAACTGCAACGCCAGGATGAACTTGTCTGGAACCTAAAAGGAGAAAACCGTCTGTGTGTGTTGTGCTTTGCCTTGCTGGGTTTTTGTTGAAGACAGCCAAAGTGGATCTAACAGCTGGTTGATCGCCAGTCCAAGATGCTTCTGGTTTCCCAGCGGGTCATGGAGCCACATATTCCAGTAAGTAGCATGGGGAATGGTTAGGACCCGGGCAAGCAGTAGCTGATTTAACAGAGCTAAATTCGCTCCCGGAGAGTTGTCTGGTGCCGTTTGTAATGGGAGCGCCTCGGAATTGTAAAGTTCTCAGGCGTGGTCCGGGGAAGCGCCCACCTTTATTCTGCTCGTTTGTATTTGTGAGACAGTGTAAACCTTTAAACCGGGCCACTTGGTGAGGGACTGATCGCTCCTGTCTTTGGAGCCGGTGTCAGTCTGGGGAGAAGGGCAGCTGCTTCGTGGGGGTCTGCGGGTGTCTAACATGGTGCTGAAGCAAGGTGGATTCCTTCGACTGATTTTTTTTTGTAAGAAAGTGGGACAGGCTGGTGTGTGGCCGGAGAGGTTTGAAACTCCGGGAGGTTTGCTGCAAGGAAGCAAAGTGCAGCCTCTGGGCTGTGGCTGCCTGGGAAGCAGCTGCTTTCCTCCTCGTTCTCGCTAGGATCGCTCGGGTCAGTCCGAGACTGTCTCCGAGGTCCCGGCATAGGTTTATTTCTGAGCCAAGCGCGCCGTGTGCACGATGTGAGCAGGGAGAGGGAGAACCCGATGCAGCCAGAAAGGGCTCTGTGATTGCTGCCTCTCTGCACCCCGGCACGGGGCTGAGCCGGATTCATGCAAACACTTTATTATTATTATTGCATTTCATCCTGAAATGTCTCTCCAAATCCGCCCGGAAAGGAAGGAGCTGCTGCCTGATTTTTATCCGAGATTAAATGCTGACTGCACAGACTAATGGGATTAGAAAACTGCCAATCCACTCAGCCCTTGAAGATGTCGTATCCCTGTGTAAACAGAGCAGTACAGGAAGGCTTGCTTCAGTCTAATTACTGGGGGCTTTTGGTTTCAACTTAGATCAAACAGACATAGGCGGATAAACCCCCCCTCATTTTAAGGGGAGTCTTCCACAAGGTGGCCCAGGCTGAGGGTGCTAGCGGCAGCGGTGTCTGGTTTTTTTTTTTTTAAGAAAGTGTTTGATTTCTATTGGCATAAAAAAAAAAGTCAGTGGTTATTTTCGGAGTGTAAAGTGCACACGAAAGGCGGGCGGGACGGGAACAAAAGACCCGGCGGGGAGCAGGAGGAGCCCTCGAGTTGTTCCTTAAAAGAGTTTGCAGCCCCGAGTCTGCCCCCGCGCCGGAGCGGGCTGCGCGTGTGTGTAAACAGGAGCGGCCCCCAGGAGCGGCGAGGGGGTGCAGCCGGAGCGCGCGGGGGCTGCTGACTCACGTTTGCAAAACTGTTTGGGTTTCTCAGCCTGCGATGCGGAGCAAAGCGAGGAGCGCTCGTGCGGCGGCGCCCGGGCCCCCCTGCAACCTGCAGGCTTTGGAGGGCGGCTCCTTGTCTCCCTTCGCTTGCCTTGGGCCCACCCCCGAGTCCCGCGGCCCTGCCTCCGCCGGGAAGTGGCCGAGGGGGCGGGTTTGTTTGGGTGGCATTGGGCTTCTGCTCGGCGCTGCCTGGCCCCGGGGGGGCGGAGCTCGCAGCCGGTGTGTAACCAGGGGGGGCTGGGAGCTTTGCAGGGAGTCGGGCGGGCGCTTCCTCCCAGGCCCCCCGCTGCTGGCAGGACGCGGCCCCGGGCGCCCGGCGGGGGCAGCTGGCTCGGTTGCAGGCGAAGCCTGGGACGCCAGAGCCGGGCTCCCGTCTGGCGCCGATGAGCCCGGCGTGGCCTGGCTGCTGGGCGGGGAGC